AACATAGATGGCGGCAGCATCAGTCTTCTGCGCTCGGTGCATTTGGCGAGTTCGTTTGAGTTAGAGCACTATATAGCTCCTACGGAGCAGAGTAGCGCAATCCTTTGATCCGCGCGTGTTTCGCCGACAACATGGCCGACAGAGCAGCTCGGCGCGAGTCACGTGGTACTCAGGGTTCCAGGAGGCGGCCCGCCCTATGGGAGAATACATACAGATCGACACAACACGGCTGATTAAAAAATGAACGGCGAGTTCACACTTTTCAAAACTAGTCTGTCGTGAAGTTAGTAAAGCACTAAACACTTTATCAAACTTTTAATAATATCGGATGCGTGTGCAAATTTTAAGAAGGCAATTTCCAAGGCAATGGCGTTTGAAGCAGACAATTTTTACTCGCAGCGGAGATGGGCTTTTCGGGTTGGCCGGAGCGGGTCACGTGAATGGTGTGACGTCGCCGTGTCGTCTGCTGCATGATGCCGCTCAGGCAATTTTTTTAAAAAAGTCAGGTCCTTGCGGGGCACAAAACTTAGCGCAAATTATTCTAAAGTGTTCGATTATTATGTCAAAAATGATTGCGATTCCGTACATTCCCACAATACTGGAGAAACAACGATTTTCTCACGTTCTCCATGCATTTCTGACCGCAGTTGGAACCTCCGGGAGTTCGCCGCTAGTCGCCGAGAGGCGGCGTTCTAGATTGCGCTACTCCCGCTACTCTGCTCCGAAGGAGCTATATAGTGCTCTAGTTTGAGTCCAGTTTTCCGTGCAACACTCTGAGAGTGCGATGCATTCTGGGAGAGAACTCCAACGGTGCCAGTGCGTGTGAAACGAACTCGCTAGGCAGTTTTCGTACACTGTTTTCGCCATTCCGCAACGCCCTCCGCAGCCCGCTACGATATCTGGAACTCATAGTCAAGGCTATCGGCGCGCAGGCGCAGTAGCAACTTTTTCGTTGCAGAGGGCTTAGCGGAGGGGAAACGCGGTCTACGAAAACTCCCTATTAAAGGCACTATCTGGGCCGCGAATCGGCTTCTGTGCCCCCTCTTTACGTTTACTATATTATAGCGAGTTCGTTTCACGCCACTCGTGCCCACGCGTGCCCATTCGCAGCGCAGAGCGAGTTCGTTTCGGCCGGCACTCCACGAGTTGTTGCACTCTCCGAGTTCGTTTCAGCGCCGACACCCCACTTTAACCCCACGCGTGCATTGCACTTTCTGCACTGCGAAAATCGAACGTGCGCCCAAATACAATCTCGTCATGCCCCGCTCCGGCGAGGAGTGGGAGCAGACGACAAGGGGTCGTCTGCTAGGATGTGTCATTCGTACAGCGGAACCGAAAGGAAAAAAAAGTAGATTTTCTGATAGAAATTGCGTCCCGCAGACAACAGAATCAAACGCGAGCTTGAATTGTGAGCGTCTGCTATTTCATGAAGGAAGGGATTGACAACCCATGCTTTATTTGCAGTGTTTAAATCGCTCTGTTGCACTGCAGACGCTGAAATATACCAGAGATGTTTATCACCATCCGTGTGCGGGTGAATAATTGAACATTTGTCGACAAAACTCCCCCAGCAGAAACCTGTGACTGCACAATGAGCATCAGAGAAAGCTAAACATAGTGACTTTACCCGGGCTTGGGCAGCATCATCAAGTTTAACAATTACCTACGTCAGCTAACTTGCCCCTAGTATTTTGTTCGAGAAAGCTCTCGTTCTCGAAGTCCCACGAAAAGTTTTGCTGGATATTCCAACAGACTATATGTCCGCTTCATACTTAATATGCAACGCTGCCAAAGCTACTGGCGCGAGCGCGTGGCTTTGTCTATGGGTTCGTTCGCGCAAGCACGCGTACAAATGATCAGCGATATCAAGCCTCATGCTTGCGCCAGTAGCTTTGACAGAGTACAGTTTTAAGCCGTACCCTTTCAGTGGCTCAAACGGATCAAGTTTTTGCTCGCAAATCACCATCAGTTTGAAAAATCGCAACCAGCTGCTTTGAGCTGCAGGTTGCAGAAATTTATGCCGTCTGTATCTATCTCTACGACAGCCGAGCCACAAATTCTGTTCTGGGTAGTTGGGCTCTCATATGTCACGTACGACTAACAACCTCCGTGAGCATAAGAACCCCGACGAATATGTACAGTGTCCCTTTAAGGTACAGTGGCCCAAGTTCTTAATATTATCAAGCAAGCGTCGACCACCGGGCCAGCCAGTGCCGTGCTGCGGCGATACGGGAGATTAGGCGCGTGCGCACAAAGGTCTTTCCAGTGCAAGCGTCGTCTGCAAGACTATTCCGTTGCACGCACACAACCCCTGCTCCTTATCTGCTGGCAGAGCTAGCCGCCTTTAAGCAAAGGTCTGAACAGCGCTTGCTAGCATGATACTGCTCAGGTGTAGCATAAACCACGCGTCATTGCGCCACTCTTTAAGCCGCGTAAGACAAGTATCACACCAGTGCATGCTCTGCAGAGATCTGTTGTACCAATTGATAAGAGAAGCAGAGAAAGAGAGAGGTGGTGGGCATTGGATAAACCATGTCAATCAGCGCCCTGTGCTCCTTCGCTACAAAGCAGGGTCCGTGTGCAATCAACGGAATAGCCTAACAGATGACGCTCGCACCGGAACGAGCTTTTTGCACACGCGCCTAATCTCTCTCGTATCGCTGGACGCCACCGCAGCACGGCGCTGGCCGGCCCGGCGGTCTAGAGTTGTACAGGAACTCTACGGCGGTCGACGCTCGCTTGATATTAAAAACTTGGGCCACTGTACATATTCGTAAATGTACTCTTTATTGGTTGACAGGCGCCGGTCGGGTGGGGATATTCAGCAGCATAGCAGCGCAGACGTTTGCCTGCTCCAGTGCAAGAACAGAACACGAGCCGGTCCCACCCAACTTGTCCCACCCAGTTTGGTGTTTTAATGCGACAGCATTAACTGTCCCATGGATTGAACCGGCATTCTCAGCTCTTGAAGCTGCGCGCCAAATGGGACCTAAATTCCAGTCCCAATGGGGCGAAGCCTGTAGTCTGCGACAGTGATGCGGCATAGTTTCAAGAAACGCCACTCCATGGTGCTGCGGGCTCCCGCCGACGGAAGGAACACGGTTAACACGATGGCGTGCTCTCCTTGTTTGACTCCTTGTATGCACGTTTGCAAGTCCGGCTTCAGGGCGCTGCCATCTTGCTCGGCTGAGGTGCACTTGGAGGTGTCATAATACGATTATAAAGCCTTGCTAAGGCATTGCGATCGGATTAAGGCCGTGCCCAAGCGCACCCCACTGAGCCAAATGACGGCGCCCCGAGAGCGGACTTGCAAACATGCATATAAAGGTACCTCAAATATCTCTATATACTCCGCCGACTGCTCTTTCGTGCAATGTGTAAGTTTATATTATGCATTGTTTTTCGTTGCTTTTGCTGGAGTCAACACACAAAACGAGAAATGGGCATTTGGAGCAGAAAGCGCAGCTTACCTCGACTGGATGTTATATTTTACACTTAAAATTTTTCGAGGTCGATAAAGCAAACTGGCCTCCAAAATAAATCTCAATTTTAGCCAAAATTGACACGCTCAACATCGACTCCATCGGGCCCTCCCAATAAAAATGTGCAAGACACCCATATTAACCCCCCTCCAGTAGACTCATTAATTCATAGTCAGAAATTCATCTAAATATGATACTAGACAACATTACGATGTTACATGGATAGTTACACATACAAAGCAGATTTGTGCATTTCCTCTACATAGGCCTAATTATAAGTACAGGCGTAACATATTAGTGAAAGAACTGTGACGTTAAGTTTATTCATCCGGCAAAAAAGTTGTCGATTGTGGACCGTTTCGTCAGCAGACGAGATCTCAAAACAAAATTTCCAATACCAGCCAACGCAAGTAGCTCTTTACTGGACTCTTCCTTTCCAGACAGAAACTTTTGGAGCTGAGCGATGTGCTCAAAAGCCTGTGGCTGTGACAGTCGGGTAGTGGGTCATCCGTTTCTTCATCGAAATCTTCACTCTCACTGGTGCACAGTGCTGGCATTACTTCCTGTACTATGTCCTCTAATGAGTCATCATGACAAACACACACATCGTCAAGATTAGCATATTCCGCCAGCTTGACGTTCACATTATGTGCTTCGAGGCCAGAAAGCAGCATGATGCCAGTGGGCTGTTCCTCATCCTCGATGTCGTCTTGGTGATCATTGCTAGGCTTGAAGGGCATAATGTGAACGCCGATTTCCGCTAATGTGTGCCTGCTCGAGCCCCGTTGAGTGCGCTTCTTTCCGAACACCGGTGCACAGCGGAGAAGCAACATTCGCAAAAGCAAGCTCCGCGGGTATTGCTTTTCTGCGGTGCACCGGTGCTCGGAAAGAAGCGCACTCAACGGGGCCGCGAAAGCAAAAAAGTATGAATTAAAGACCGGAAACCAGTTCACGCTTTCCACCCTTTTCCCTCTTCCTCCTCCCCCCTTCTACCCTGTCCACCGTTGCCTGTTTCCTCCTCTCCCATAGTGAGGAGGTTTTTCTGCCTTGCAGAATCTCGAATCTGACCGTCAGCCATTAAGTGAAAACAATGTTTGAATTAAGTGGCTTTAAATACATTAAAAACATGGCGGGACAACCAAAATTTTCAAAACTGTTTAAATTAACCGGCAGTATGAAGTATCCGAGTTTGAATTGCTGCGAGCCTACTGTAGGTACATTACCTTTTTACTTCGTAACTAAGCAAATCTGATCAAAGTAAGTTTTGTCTTAAACGAGAACAAAAGTTTTGAATCTGAGCACAGGCCAGTAACAGAGGACGTTCCATGACCAAGGGCGGCAAGTATGCCTGAACCCTCTATCCATCGGTCAGGTAACAATTGAGAGCAAAAGACACTGCATGATGAACTGTGGCTTTGCTTTTATTTCTACCAGTGAGGTAGAACTTAAACGGAGAAGCATCTTGGTTGTCTGTCACAGCACAAATTGAGCTGTTTCAAATAAGCACCAACACAACCGTTCAGGAACAGATCATAATTTTATTCCCCTCAAACACAAATTTGCCGCGATATTGACAACTTTTTCTCTCTAGGCTATCACTAATCGTAGAATAAAAGATTTCCTGCGCCAAAATACTCCACAGATATGAAAAGATGAAATTAAGGTGGGCGAGTTTCAAAGTGAAACTAACAAAGTGGTTCTAAAATGTTCGTAACTGAAGGTTTATGAAATTTAGTAGAATTGTTATCAATACTACAATATTCTTTTTTGCCTATGTACTTCCTCTGCACCATGCAGTTTTTTTATATAAATGTTTGAACAGTTGTATTTATAGCTCAAACTTGAATGGAACTACTCAATTGTCTATTTTGTTCAGTGGAATTTTATAGTGCTATAGTCTGTGACAAGAGTAAAGTGAAAGCTCCTCCCACCTCTTTCCACTTAAAGGCCAACCAACAAGCAGAAAGGAGGATACTTTCCCGCCATTCCTCTTTTCCATTCGAGCAAGAGCTCCCTCCTCCCTGCGAGAAGTAACTCAAACCCTTGTGTGGAGGAGGAGGAGTGCAAAAAAGGGAGAGAAGGAAACCGGGAGCCGTTTTCTGCCCGGCAGAAGAGGATTTTGTAGGTCGGCCTTTAGGCAGAGCGAATGCTCGAGAGGAGGCAACCTTCTCTCCAGCATTTGCTCTGCTAAAGTGGAAAGAGGTAGGAGGAACTTCCACTTTACACTTGACTTGTCACCGCCTATACACGTTTGCAAGTCCGGCTTCAGGGCACGCCATCTTGCTCGGATGGGGTACGCTTGGACGCGTCATAATCCTATTACAAAGCCTTACTAAGACGGCGTAATCATATTATGGCTGCGCCCAAGTGCACCCCACTGAGCAAGATGGTAGTGCCCACAGACCGGACCTGTAAAAAAAAGTCATAAATTATTTTATGAACTGTTTTAGTACCAGGAATGCAGATTAGGAAAAACACTGCCTAGCATAATTGACAACTCTGCAACGAGCTTTTAGGAAAATAATGGACGGAAAAAAAAATTTAAATACTTAAGATTTTTTATTTTCATGTATCTACCAATCCACCCTATTAGTGTTTGTTTTGCATCTTGTTAGATATGTTAGATATTCTGTAACACTTCGCTTACTTTTCTTGTAATGACTAAGTCTCCTACTATGATTAAATCGTTTTCTTTCTTTATTTTCCTTTTCATTGCTTTTGTGTGTTGCAGAAGAGGAAGAAAATGAATTTGTGAGCAAGCACTGTTTGTGTCTTTTGTCTACTTCTCCTTGCGTCTTTTTTACGCTGTTTTCTCCCATTACCACTCTATTAGTTTCCCTTTTAAACCCCCCTCCCTTTAATGTCCCAGTGCACATAGTACCCTTTATTTACAAGGGGGACAAAAACAATGACACAAAAGAGAAGTGAACCTGGACGCAACAGCCCCTCAAAAAAACGCAGTTGCTTCGCAACGTCAACAGACACGAGACTGTCAGCCCACCGTTCCGGTCCAGACACGCTCCGTCGAAAGCTAAACGAAGTCTAAGCCAGGAATGCGAGGTGGGTTTGCACCCCAGAGACTCCGCGTCTCCGGCATAGGGGAGCCTCCGTCTCGCCAGGGAGACCTCGGCCCTCCCGGAGCGGGGCCCCTGTCCCGGTCGTGCAGATCCGTTCCGTACGGCCTCTCGGGATGTCCCGTCAACTCGTCGCGTCCCCACGCGGGGGCGGCCCGTTCTCCCTGCCAGTCCGCAGGGGCGTTCTGGCCCCCGGAGTCGAAATCTCTCGAACACGCCCTCTCGGGAAACGCGACGGGAGTGCCAAGAAGGGGAATGGAGTTCTCGTTGCTCCAGGAAGAGTAACGCGACGTGCCTGTTGACCGTTCTTCTCCGTGTCGGAACAAACCGTCCCCGGCGGAAGCCGGTGGTTCAAGGTAACGAGCGGGACCGACCGGTCGCGCCGCGTCAGAAATCCGACTTTCGGTCCCGAATACGGGATTTTTCTCGACGATCCGCCGCTCGGGATGATTCTCCGGGGGCGCTTCGAGAAGCTGCTCCGAACGGCTCGACGGCCGACAGGAGCCGAACCTGAGAGGGACCGTCGAAATGGACATCCGTGCCCCACCGGAGACCTCCTGGAACCCGCGGTCTGGACATCCGTGCCGCGGGGGGGAATAGCCACCCCCCCTTTTCCCGCCGATTCGGAACCGCTCGTCCTCTTCCGAGTAACCGCCCCGAGAAGACGCACCTTCGTCGCTATTCCCAAAGTAGGTCTCGCGAACGGGCTCGCGCTCGCTCCAAACCCTACTGCCACCGCCCAAGTAATTATTTTCGATGGCGGTGCGGTCATCGTAAGCGTCACGAAAACCGCCGGCTTTGTCGCCAAACGGAACCTGTGGCGGCCCCTCGACAAACGAAACATCGCCCGCGCCGGGTCGATTACTTTCCCACCCTCTCCGGTCCCCGCTCCGACCCCGCAACCCGACTCGATCGACGGGAGAACCCCGGCCACCCTCCCAGTCGTCCGGCTTCGGCAACAGCGCCCTCCGCGCCCTCCCCCGATGCCAGGCGTCCATCTCAGAGCCTCCGAACTCCCCGCCCGCGGCCCCGCGCGGCCCAGTTTGATTGTCGTCGTAACCTTCCTCCACGTCCCGCGGAGGGCTGTGGTTCCAGAAACCAGTTCCGCGGTCGCTGCGCGGGCTCTCCCGCCGCGCGTGGCCCCTCGCCGCCTCCTGGCGCGCCTCCCTACGCTGCCTCTCCTCCAGCAGTTGGCGGCACTCGTCGATCATGCGCTTGAGCACCATCTTCTCTTCCTCCTCCTCGTGGCGCCTGCGCAGCTCCTCCACGAGCGCCCTCTGCTCTTCAATCTCCCGCTTGCGCTTGGCTAGCTCCGCCTGCAGCTCCTTGCGCTCCAGGGCCAGGGCGGCCAGCAGGGGGAGCTCCTCTCGTCCCTCCGGCCGCTGCTGCCTCCTTTTGTGTGGCCGCGGGTCGCCGTCCCAGTTCTCCTCCGGCATCCGCTTGACCCGCTGCTGCGGATGGAGTGGAGCCGCTCCCTGCTGCGCGGGCTCCCACCTGGAGTGCCTCGCTCCGGGCGCAGCCGGAGCCGGGCCCGGACCGGGCTGCTCGCTCCGGCCTCCGGGAGGCTGCAAGCATCGGCGTTCCAGTCACTCTCCGTGCTCTCAATCTCGGATACGAAAGCCCGTTTCTGCGGAAGCCCCCTTCACTCTCGCTTATTGGGCTATCTGAAGAGTACAAAGGGGGGATGCCCCATTTACATCCCCACAAGCTTCCGGCCAAATGCGAAGACAAACAATTCCCCCACCATAGTGGGGCTTCTAGCTTTCGTAAAGTATTTTTTTATCAGTTTTCCAGTCCCAGGAATTTTGACATGAATGGGTTCGGAAAGCCTGGCGAAACGGAGCGACCAGAACTCTCTAGGGAGTCAAGAGACAATTTGTGTTTGTAAACGAAAAGAGGGTCTACAAGACCGAAGCGGCGGTACTAGCGATGTTACGGCATCTCCTCGGAGAAAAACCAGCGTGTAACACCTCTACGACTGCGTACAAAGAGATAATCGCTAGGACAACCGAGGTCTAGACAACGGATTGTAGTGGAAAGCAAGAAGTAGTAATGCAGTTGGTCACACTTGACGGTGGATACCTGACCCTGCCCTAATCCTGGCAGGATCTGTGAATACCCAATTAAAAAATCACGAGAGCTAATGAAAGTTCTTGCCATAACTAGGGAAGATGCTGACTTCCAAAGATGCCCAGACAGAAAATTGTGGCACAAGTGGCCTTTCTATGCAAAATGCCAGGAAGCATAAGTAGAGCTAAGGACTGTATTTATCATCTACTAAAGGGAAAAAAGTCTCTCCTGAGAGAGAGTTGTAAGTTGGGGGAGTTGGTATGATGACATAGTGAACAGAACAGCTCACAAAAGAGACAAGGACAGAGAAAAGGAACAGTGCTTGTGTGTTCTGCATGTTCCTTCTCTCTGTCCTTGTCTTTTTGTGCACTGCTCCGTTGACTATGTCTCTTGAGGGAATTTACCCGACACCTCCAACACCCTGCGGTCGAAGTTCACTTGCCTTAAGTTCCACCAGAAACTTGTGCTTCTTGCTTTTGACATGCTGCAAATAAATAACCACAAAGTAAGCGACAGACTAATAATAGAGACACGTCATGGATGACGTCCCTTAAAGGGCACTGCAAAGAAATTATTTACACCATTATTAGACGCAATTTAGGTGGAGGTCACAGCCTGTTCTAAGCCCCCTCCACAGATCAGTGACCCCGCCCATTACTACTGGAATGAAAAGTCATCAAAGTCAAATATTTTACGTACTGCGAGCAAGTACGGTATGCTTTCTTAAAACTCATCCCACCAAAATTGTTAAGGTACTTCCCCAGCTTCCATCCGCTGCTCCTGTCGATGTAGTTATAATTCACCCACACCTATACAAAAGTGACAGCTAAACAAAAGAGTTGGCCTAAAAAAATAAACCTACAGAAGAGGGCATATAAATATTCTAGCAATACCGAAGTATCCTCGCTAAATCTCAAATTGGAAAAAGGTGCCACCAGCCAGGCTATTGCAGCCTATGATATCTATGAGCCGAAGTTGTATTCAAAAACTGTCGTGTCTCGCTCTGAAAGTCTGCTTTCCCCTTAGCACGTGGGTGCACCGTGGTGAAGAGAGACTCGCAAAATTGGGATGCCTACTCCGCGGTAGTCGTTTCTGTGCAGTACACTAGTGCATGGCGAGATTCCACGAAACCAACCCGCCAGAACAGACCATGAACATGAGAATGATTGCGAAACTTCACAGGTTCAGAGTACTGTCAGTCTTTGGTAAGAAATGCGATCAAATAGTACATCATTTAAGGCGATAATCAAAGGTTCCGAAAGCTCACACAAGCTTGTAAATATATGAGCTTGAACTTTCGAATTAAAGCTTGTGGCGGGTTAGTTTAAAAAACAATATTTTATAGGAATTCTTGGTAAATGCTTTGTATATTTTTGTATAAGTGTAAATATCGGGGATGATTTTTATTAGTGGAATAGGGTAATTTATATAATAGGTTTATCATGCTCTACTTGGGACTATAAATGAAGGAGCAAACGCGCAAGGAAGAAGTTTACACTAAAACATTGTTGGTAGTCAGCTGAGCGTCCTATCCTGTCCTTTCTTTCTTTGTGTTCTAGTTTAATTCTAAAGTTCAAGCTGATATATTTACAAGTATGTACCAACAAGCTCAACTCTTAACCGTTACTCAGACAAGCGTATTGTAACGATCTGGTGAGGTAGTGAGGCTCGAGCTATTATAGTTTCAGTATTATTAAAGTAAGTTTTGGCGCAATGTTGGTGCATATTTCTCTCATTTTGGTAAAATGTAGCAGAATGTAAGTACTTTGGCGTGATTTGGCACACACGGCACAGCAATCGCATCACTCCACTGCAGCTAACCTATAGAAAACTTGCGTTGTCCAAAAAAAAAAAAGTCCGAAGGAACACCCTTTTTAAACGCGGTTTAAAAAATGCATTTGAAATATTTCGCTGCAATACTTTGTGGTTTAATGAATAAGAGCAAATTACAATCCGCAGATAATTTTCTTTTCGTGACCCCATTAACGCACCACAGCTTGGAGCGTGTAGGCGGCGAAAGCCTGCACCGCAGAACCTGCTCACTTCCATCCACGTTAGAGATCCCAGGCTGGCGGATATACCGCCCCCCAAAAATTTCTCATTTCCAGCAGACGAGCGTTAGAGCCGAGTAACTTATCCTCAATTTCTCATCCACGGCGGACACCGAAGCGAGGAACTGAGGGCAGGCGAGATGCAACAGGGAACCGGGCTCCTTGCGGTTGCCCTAAATGCTGCACCTTGTTTTCGTATCGCACCCTGCCTCAATCGTTTTCCTTCTTTTCTAACGCTAACCACCCTCCTTTCTGTCGCTCGCCGAGTCATTGTTCCCAATCCCTCACCCTCATCTCTAGAGTAAGGTCGTTTTAAGACAGTTGAGCCGACTGGGAGACTTACTTCCGACATCATGCCCTCAGACTCCAGTTCTATCTGGCACACATCGCAGTAGGGTTTCACTGGAAAAAAAAACAAACATGCTCTCACATTTGACAAGACGCCAAAGTTTCTCGACGAACTAAAAGAATAAAAACGTCCCGTTCATAACTCACCTTTTGGGGCAGCAGCCTGCACATTCCCTGTTCGGCTCTCCGCCCGTGAACCCTAGGAGACAAGATTAAAGGCCGATGCAAATCAAATGTTGAAGAAACATATTGTGCCCTAAAGACTCATATGTGAAAAAAGGGCAGTGCACCGTAAACCCGCAGGAAACTGCCCACCTAAAGTAAACACAAGGTGAAAACTACTTAGGGTAATTAACCTCTTCCCAGTAAGCCTCCGCGCATGTGTGCACCTTCTCTCGACCCCCAATTCCCGCTGTCGACATTTTTGGCTGGCATCGTCCCATACAACCCCTACCTTTGGGCATATTTCGTCTTTTTTTCATCTTTTATTACGCATCTATGTACAATAAATTTTTATTGTTTTGCCTTATATTGCCTAATAAATGCTTAATAATAATGATAATGCAAAATTAATACTATAAATATTAATAAATAAATAAAATAAAAAATGATTAAAAATAATAATGTTCAATAAAAATTAATTTTTATTGAGCTTGCAACATACAACTGCATGTAGCATGAAAAGCAATGAAAACTACAACACGGTGCCAATGTGGTCCGACAAATCGAGAAACGTGCTGCCCTTTGTAGTCTGCAAAAAACAACCCAGATGGAGCTCCTTACTCGAGAAAAGTTCATAAGCTATCTTTCGATGCAAGACAGAAAAGCACTGGAACAAGTTAGCATTTATGAATGCACATAGCGTGATGCAACATGCAGAAGCCCTTATGTATAACGAATCATTGAAATGCGAAACCTACATTCTGCGGGGCAATTGCATGTTTCTCGGAGATTACTCGCAATTTATTGGATGGAACAATGCCCAAAATAACTCGGCATGCTTCTAAAAGAGCCACGATGTCATCCCTAGTAAAACTCTTTCCAAGCATTGCCCGTTTGGCCCAATTGTCTAGATCACAAAACTAAGAAAACCGGGTTGTCATCAAGATTAAGTAGGTACAGTATATAGTTGCCCCGCATAGACCTACCCAATTAATTTTCCACCTTCACTGTTTCACTTCACTTTTCAGTCAATGGGTGATGCTAGTTGCCACCCCAATTCAAAGCAACAAATGAATTATATTTAGGGTCCTCCATTTTCTAACACAATAAAATTAGAAAAACACTCGTCGATAAAATATCACAATTGAATTTATCCGAAAAACTCGGAAATTGAGGTCTGCCAACTGTAAAAACCTGATTGTTTGGTTTTCTTGGAATCCTAAGACAACTTTCACAATTTTCTTTCACTTTTGGAAACCTCTATTTCTACTTTTGTCTGTGCCACCATAGAATGTCCTTTGAATCCCAAAAAGAAGGCAAGCTCCCTACAGCTGCCTTTGCTCTTCCTCTTGAACAAATCTGTTCCCTAGACGTAATTTAGATTGAACCACCGTGCACACTCCCTTGCCTGCACCGACGACAGGGATTCGAGATTCGGTTTTTCAATGAGAGTGCGTGATGGGCAGAAAGCCAAAGCTCCCTGCTGATTAAGCCAAGAAATGCACTCCACTCGGATATCTCACGCATATCTTTTTACACAATTGTTTCAGCCCATATTGCCTGCAAGTAGGGTGTCGTGTTTTCGGAGTTTGTTTCTTGTGAGATTCAAAGAGTGTTTTTGGAGTTTATTTTTTGCCAAAAAAATCGGGGTTTATTAAGGTTTATTTTTGTTAGATTCCCAATTCTCTGACATTTAGTATATTTAACTGTGTTCCAAATTTTTATAATTAAAAAAAAACAAATAAAATTCGGGTACCATGACGCATTGTCCTGAGGAACTTGTCGAGTCAAAAGGGAAACCCCCCTTGTCAGTAGTTTTAAGATTTCAAAGGAAACTGAACTGGCATTTCCTCAGAACCACTGACCCTGTGCTTATATAAAGTTTATTTGTAAAACACCATCTTTTTCGTGAATTTTATTTGGTCATGGTGTTTTTAGGATAAATCTGAATCAATTGAAAATTTACTGGCGAGCATTTTTTGGGATATTTTCGGATTTATCCGAAAGCACAGAACCCTACCTGTAAGCTATGCTCCGCGCAAGTTTACCCAAAGAAAAAAGTTGCACTCTGCACTGCTAAGTACCGGAATTCGTACAGGATGTCTCTTTCTGGGTTGTACAGATTGGTTTTAAAAAAGTCATGAAAGCTACACAATGCGGTCTGTGCAGGTGAGCTAGATGCCCACGGGGACACACAATTGGTTGGACAATTAACTCAGATTTGTTCATTAGTGTTCTAGTTAATGAAAGTAAACACTTGGTTCCAATTAGAAACTTGCTGAGCGCCATCGACAGCCACTAAATTGGAGGTTTTTAGAAAGACCTCGAGCTCGCGGGAAGCGCAGTAGTGTGCTAAAGTAACCCCTCCTGCAACAGGCGCAAGGTTGGCGGTGAGGAAACGCAGTTGCTAAGGGACACAGTCTCATTGCCATGCCGGTGGCCCCGCTTCTGCTGCACCAGTAGTAATTAAGCCCTCTCCCACGCGCTCCTTGTTTCTAAAATTGACCCATTTGGTCGTTTTAAACGACGCTCAGCAAGTTTAATTGGAACCATATGTCAATCTTCACTAATTTATAGTCAATCAACATATTTTCGTTAATTCGCCAACTTATCGGGATGATTATTCCCCTACCTTATGTCACCCTGGCCGTATAACTCATCTGCACAAACTGGATTAGTGTAGCTTACGTGGCCTTTTTAAAGGAAATGTTACACTTAGAAGATACACTCAGTATGTCGGCACATACGGCTGAAAGGACCTAGTCTCCAGACAATTGAGCATATTAAATGGATTGTAGGCCCTTACTTTTAAAAAATATTAATTATTATCGTAGACCTCCGAATGTGTTGTTTATAAAAAAAAGTTTAAATATATTTGCCGACTTTTGTACCTACCTAGGCAAATGACACTCAACATAGCAAAAGCTCAAAATTTGGTAGACTTACCAACAACAGCTCCAAAAAAAATCAGAATTCAAGGTAGAAATTTAACTCCGAAATAACCAACGAATGAAAGCACCAATGAATGAAAGCATTCTATAAATAAAAGCATCCTTCGAAATTAAAAAAAAAAAAAAACATTAAATCTGGATTCTTATAATCCTATTGGCTACGCAAGCACCATCAAAGTGGTGCATGTAGGGATGTCATTGAATCGGGAATGGGAATTGCCAAAAAACGAGGGTAACTCGCTGGTGGTGCATTACTGCAATAGGCACTGACGATTTCTCAAACTGGCTTCCCCCAATAACCTCGCAAGTTATCCGAGCTCCCAAATTTCCTCGGCTGTCCTTGCCCCTAGCAAAGCAATGGTACAAGCACTACCTTAGCAGACAATCCAAAATTTTGTAGTATTTTCGTCTCGTTCCCTTTCACAGTCATCGCCATACTTGTACGAAGGCAACCAGACATTTGGTTGCCTTATTTGAACTATAAACGTTTTATTAACTATAAAATTAGCTATAAATGTTTTATTCATGCTGTATTTTGCTAGGGCTACACACAGTTTTGAAATTAGATGCTCTGCACACGTGTTACGCACGTGGTGGTCACTTTGCGTGCCAACCACTTCGGTGGTAGTAACAACTGAAGCGCCTGCTCTCACAGATTCAGACATTTCACGATTCTCAGAACTGAATTTAAAAGATGAGCGCTCATAGGCCGCTAGAGGAACTCTGCAAAGCACCTCCCGTTTGGAATCGGACAGCACCGAAATACGGCGGAAGCGGGCACACCAGAAATGAAACTAAAGAGGAGAAAGGCGACATTTTGCCCCCCATATTTCCATTTTATGCTTCCCAAACTGAACAGCCTGCAAGCACTGTACATGCTACTGCTCGATAATTTTAAAAAAAGAAGCTGGCCATTGACCTTTCTTTGAGTTATACATTCAGAAACAAAATGCAACCACTGAGAACTACCTTTGGGAAGAAAACGTGGCGGTGAAAGGGATAACGGCCCGTGTCCCTCACTCTATGCTTTAGATGCCAAACTTGAATGTACCTCAAACTATCCAACTGGTCATGGGTCCGTCTGCTCTTTCAGTGACAAGTATGTGCCTTCCGAACTAATATGTAACTACAAGCCCGACATTCCCTAGTGTGTGTGGTGTTGTTTACAAGGCCGCTTCTACAATGCTTCGTTGCACCAACGTTGAAACTGGAAGGGCTTCCTCGGCTTTCAGACATCAAATATGGGTTGACCAAAAAATTAGATCCCCGACAGACCAATAAGAGCGGCGCAAATAGGAAGAGAGTGCACCAATGCCAAAGACATGAAGTGCACCGGAAGCCCAAAATAGCCAAGCAATAACAAAAAAAGGGAGGACGTTAACAAATTTCTGTAATGCAAAATTAGAGCGCAGCTCTTGAGGGGAGGGTACAGAGAGGAGCGTTATGCCCCTCCTCCTCCGTATTCTCTCCTCCTCCTGTGTACCTTACCCTCCTCCCAGTTTCCCCATTCAATTTAGCTGAAAAATCGACGCCACGTGACCTCAACACCAATTCAGTTTCCCCACTAAATTTAGCGAGAAAAATGACGCCACATGACTTTGTGTCACGTCACCTACGAACAAATTCAATTTCTCGCGGAAAAATTGATGTCACTTGAGCTCAAACACCAATTCAATTCCCCGCTAAATCGTTGAGGTCACGTAACAAATTTTCTCGCTAAATTTAGCACGGCGACGGCGACGCCACGAAACAGGCACCCAAGAGCTGCGCTCTAAAACAGTGGCAAGTAGACGAGAGCACACACAGCACAACCAAGGGATGCTGGTACTCTTGCATGTTGAAATATCCGGCGCTTTACCCGAAATCTATGACAAGAGCATACGTGGCGAGTTCAATATTCTTATATCTAGTGATCCATTAATTTAGCAGTTGGTTTGTTAGCGGCTCGTGCCACTACCAAATCGACAAGCATCACCAGCTCTTCCGCTCTTCGGTGTGCCACAGTTGCCCATAATTTTGCTATATAATGTTTGTTTTTTTAAATTTTTTTTAGAGGAAATGCAGACACAGTTTCATTTTCAGAGGATAGAAGATGCCAAAGTATACGACTTCAGCACTGCCACCAAAGTTGTGTCTGATTGAGAAAGCTGAGAAGTTCACATGGTCAAAGACTGAACTTGCTGGACCTCAATCTTTTTGGCGAGTTTAGGTCTTTCAGGGTCACTAACCCGACATAGCAATAACTGCATATTTGCGCCATATTCTTAATTAACTGGCTTTGAACTTGCGAAACAAAATTTAGAGCTTCACTAATCATTTTCTTTTGTTTGCTAATTTACAAACCTACCTAATGAGAATATTTCATACAGTACAACAGACTTTCAGCCAGCGAGGTTATATTGTGACTATATACGTAAATTGGATAAAACCGAGCTCCATCTCTGAGCAACTGGATGCAATGATGTAACCAAAAAAAATTAAGATAAAGCCCTTTTCCCGTAAAAAGTTAGGTCATGTTTGTGAATTTCACGCTCTTGGTCGTTAAATATTGGCACCATAACCCAACGACCACAATGTTGAAAAGCGGAACTCCCACAACATAGGTTTTGATTAACACACACTACAGCACACTAGTGCAAAAGTACACTCACACTGTGCACTCACTCCTTACACATGAAAAGAAAGGAAATCAAACGAACCGCACTGACTCGCAACTCATTTTTATATACTTTGTCTTCTTCTATGCCTGGAACTATCAAACTTACCGAAAGACACGCACCTATTTCCTAGATGCCATAATAGAATAATAATTATTATTATTATTATTATTATTATTAATAGAATAATAAGAATAATAGAAGACAAAGTAATATTACTATTAAAGTAATAATAGAAGACAAAGCAATAATAAAAGAAAAAGACAAAGTACATAAAAATGAGTTGTGAGTCAGCGCGGTTCAATTTTTCCTTTCTTTTTCGTGCGTAAGGAGCGGGTGCAACGTGCGAGTGTACTTTTGCAGTAATGCGCTGTAGTGTGTGTTAATATGAGCGACCAACCAACTCGCCTAAGCTGCTACCTTAACAAGATAGATTCTGAATTATCACCCGAAGTACCAATCATCCTCAAGCTTTCATTCTAGAACGTGCACATAAAAATGCTACGTTTTGTAGGAAAGACCAACGAGCATTTCCATCAGAACTTACTGCGTAACCAACTCTCCAGCTGCCACAATGCTTACCTTCTTCAACTCTGCAAGAAACTTGTGTTTCTTGCTGTCCCGATGCTGCAGCAAAAAGGTAAGAAACCAAAGATTAGAAAATGATGCTACATTTTTTTCACACTTGTCCACACTACTGCAGCTTCCACAGATGAATATGATTTCAGTGGCGCTTTATGTCACTAAAACTGTAAGCAAAGATGAGGCCAGTCATTGCCCCATGTACCTCACCTCTTTCAGCATTTTTTCAGATTCAAGCATCAGCTGGCAGACTTCGCAGAAGAGTTCCGCTGAGAAGGCAAAAGATTACGAGGCATCAGACCCAACTGAACGTATAGCCACTGTGTGCTAAAGGCGTAGGCGGGGGGGGGGGGGGTCAAAAACTTTTTCCCCAAAATCATTGCATTTTTCTTTTGTTTTAGAGAAGACGAATATTGAATGATTACTGAATTGTTTCAGTTGACCGGGGGGTTGGGGACAGAGGATGAATTGTACAGTACATCGACTACTACATGCAAAAAAGGGGACAAAGCCCCTCCCCCGTCATGAAAGCCACAAACCGCCCCCCAAAACAAAAGAAATTCCTCGCTGCGCCACTGCTGGGTGCACAAACTACCGAAAAACTAACGTTTACCCTTGGAGGTTCAAAGCAGGAGCATGCACATCCCAAACAAATACAGGTGCTATCACTACCTTAACTCATTAAAGGGGTGCTAAACCACTTCCTGGAATAGTCTATTCATAATCATAACTCCATCTATGGGCTCAAGGCATCCCCTTTGGTGTCTGCGATAATTCCGAGATAATCCATATTTGATACCAATTTTAATTTAAAAAAAATTGGCCATGAATGAATGTTTGATTTTCTAGGATGCTCAGAGGCCACAGCCCGAGTTATGATCAGAAATACCGTAGAATACCGTGCATCCGCCCATTCCCAAAAATGGAAGATTGGAGAAAATAGGCACAGTACATTTATATGTAAAATTTATGGGTGAACAAGCACCCATCCCCAACTTTTCCACGATTATCTCTCAAGTTTAAGAGGGCAATAAGGGTTTACCCCAGTCAACTAGTTTGCAGGTATTCAGATCCTTGGATACAATGTACTCAGCACGGGTATGAAATACAGATGTGAAATTCTTAGTGGTAGCAACACCACGTGATGAACACGGACAAAAGGACAGGACACAGAGAAATAACAGTGACTATCAACTCCTTTATTCTTCTTTGTACGAAGTAGGACCAAGGTAGCTCTTTGTATGTAGTAGAACAAAGGCAAAGTAGTCACTGTAATGAAAGAAGATTTTCAGGGTATTTTTTCCGTTCTCTTTACGCCTAGGTCCTACTTCATTCAAAGAAGTAGAAGCGGGTTGATGGTCAGCACTGTGGCTGTCTTTCCACGTGTCTTCTCCTTTTGTCCGTGTTTATTACGCACAGTTGCTGCTAATATAAACTCTCCCCAACTCACCCAAGCTGCTACCTTAACGAGTGAAATCCTTATCAGGCACGAGGGTGCATGATGCTGCAGGAGAGCAGGTATCAGTGCCAACAAAGATGAACACCTCATTTGCGTTGCCTAAGCTATTTCAACAAGTACCAAGCAATCAGGTCTCGAGGGGCTTTTTTTTTCCATTGACACGAGTCTACACCGACGAAAGACTGTGCAGTCTTCGGCACCTTTATTTTGCGCATCGTGCAATTTGGCGCAAAATAAAGGCATGCGACGTGTAGCCTTAGGCAGAGTCTGTCCTAGGCAATAACACAAGTGGCAAAGATGATGTCAAGGCGTAATACTCGGAACGTAAATTCAGTGTCACGAGACATTCAAAGACTGTAGGCCAATTATGGCACTAATGCAATTTGAAAGTAAATATTAATTAGTGGAAACTCGTTGAACGCAGAAAAAAGATGGGCAGAGAGGAATCTGATGTGGGTAGAAGTGCAGCAGACAAAGATGCAATGAAAAGCAAAAACATACTAAAAGTTTACAATCGGTCATACAGTTGAAACTCGAGACTACAAAACCCAATTTTACAAAATTCCCGATTTAATGAACAAATTCTAATTTCCTGCAGATTTCCACGCTCCATGCTTTTATGAACACGAAATACTGAAATAATATTGACCGTCAACCCGATCTAACGAAGCGTGCCCGTAAAACATTAGGCAAAAAGAGGTCATTTTAAGCACTTTTTGCTTATAATGCCTTCAAGTTTGTTGCTGGCATGCCAGCAATAAGCTTGGGCAACCCTAACCAACTTTTTACGGTAAAACAAACTCGGACCTACGGGCTTTTGGTTGACTGTACCAGGTAGCGCTAGCTGTTTCATGGCTTTCCATTCATGTCACACGTGACAGATGGCACTGATGGAGTTTGCCAGCCATTCCATTTCAGTTGCATTCGGTAGTCACCTGCCTTCTTCAGTTAGGCCTAACGACGGACGCGGCGAATACGAATGGCAGAGCATCGCCAAGAGGTTTCCGGTCGTTGCACGTCCAGCATGTGTCTCATGATCTTCGAGCATGCAAGCCCAACAGCGCACGACGACGCAAGTGTATGCTGGATGCCAGGTGTCGGAAAGAAACAAAGACGCCATACTATCGGTGACTTCTGCGTCGCGGTGAAATGAAGCCCCAAAAGAAAAGGAGTGTTTGCCCTCGACAAAAATGCAGAAATCATGCGTGCTTCGATCGAAAACGAGAACTCCATCCGAGTCTCTCTGGTGAGGCATGCAATCTTTGACGCAAGCCCCAGCTGGCTCTCGCGGATTGCAGATGAAACCTGAATTTGTTTTCTTGAGCGGGTAATCTCCAGACTAAATTTACACAGATGTAAATCACATTTTCGGTGTGTGAGCATTATGGGAATGGAGCATCGCGGTAGCTCCCTGCATGCTGTTACAATAAAACTAGGTTTATCAAATTTATTGCCCCAAAAATGATGTTTTCTAATTAGTTGGGTTCTTAATTTAATGAAATAATTTGCAGCTCCCATCAGGTTTGTTTGAACTTTAACTGTATAAAAAGGTCTGAGAATGCTAGAATATACGAATGCCAAAGGGAAATGCACTCAGCTTGTAAGAGGATTGTTCGGTTTAATTGCGACATGGACACGACACAAATTCCTTTCTTTTTGAACCTCCAAGAGTGCACGTCCCCAGTGAGAACCCCAAAAAACAAATTTGCAAAGTATGTTATGAGGCAGACGTACGCTTCTTGCTCGAGTTCTTCTCATCCGTGCTTCCAGAAGCCTAACAAAAACAGATGGTCAATTCAGCAATGCTAAAAAAAATACTTAAACCTCTCCAGGCTTCATTGCAACTCACACTGTTGTCATTGCAAGCATATTCGGCAGCTTGCTTCTTGCCGGAAATAAAATTGCGCATGTTTGTCTTGTGGTCGTCGCTGTTGAGATGCTATCGATGAAGCAAAAAAAAAAAAAGAATTAAAAAAGGCACTCCAGAAAGAAACAGAAGCAGGGCCGAAATCTGCCACTCACCTCATTCAGCTCAAAAGCTGATTTCATAAACTCCTGGCAAATGTCGCACATGTAGGGCACAGGCTTCAGCTTTGGAGCTGATTGCATCCGTCCCCAGGTCGTCCATACAGAAGAAAAACGGGGCCAGGTGAGTCAAGTTTGCAACAAACGCCCCACCACAGAGCAATGCTAGCACTTGCTAAGCTTTAAAGCACCTTTAAAAACTTACAATCGCTCACTCATTTTGTTTAAGCTCCTATGTGTTAAAGCGAAGGTTCCATAAAGTCCTCCCCATCTGAACAAAATATTTCAGTAATTCTTACAACAAAAAATGTGTGGTCGGAGTAACATTACCTCTACCAAAATAGCAAAGCTCAAAACACATTACACCAAAACCCTTTGCTCCTTTGGTTAGTGTGCAAGCAGCAGCACAAAAAGAGAACCAACTCTAAATGAAGCAATGGTGAGGGTGCAGGCGAGCTGGTGTAAATTGAGCATAGTTGTAAACCCGAGACTGGGGATACGGACAAGGGACAAACACAGAATGACATGGACATGTCGTTCTGTGTTTGTCCCTTGTCCGTACCCCCTTCTCGGGTTTACAACTATGCTCAACTCTAACTGTTCGTGCAAAGCAAAACAAGTTGCATAAAACCATTTTTTTTTTGCCTGGTGAGGGATTTGAAACACAATGGACTGTCAGAGAGAAACAGCCTACTGTAAAATCCCATATGAATGCCATTCCCCAAGAGATCACCCATCCCATTTTTCTAACAGAATATCCGTAACAAAAATTCCAAAACATAACCCCCCCCCCCCATTCCCGCCACACCAACTTGTTTAGGGATGGGAATCACATCAACCGCGCAATTTGCGGCACCGGTACGTGTAACAAGTGAGTTCATGGTGGCTTCCTGCATGTTTATCGTACCGTGACGTGCGAATTTGCTGCATCCGTCATCTGCGGTACCCTTTCCTGTGACGTGCAAGTTAGTAGCGGGTCACCGCCTTTTATAGCTGCGATCTGCGCGTGCAAGAACGGTTGTGCATGATACGTGAGTTTGTAGCTATTTCCCGCGTATTCACTGCACTATGAATCAAGACTTTGCTGCATCCACAATCTGTGGCATACGTTCCAGTGACATGGGAGGTTTTGTCAGCAATTTGTGCGAGTGCTATCAGTTTCCAGGACTCCCAAGATTGCAGCGCGTTCTGTCATGTTTATCGTACCGGGAGACACTAATTTGCTGTGTCCGCGATCTGCGGTTCCGTTCCCATTTCACGTGGCTTGTAGTGGCTGCATTGCTGTTTCACTCACTTTTTTTAAACTTTTTCTGTCACTTTCTCAAAGATTGCCCAACCCATGTTTTTCACCATTTATCTTCCTTTTGTGTGGGCATACATATGGGATTTTACGGTACTCAAAGTTCACAAAGCATTACCACAGAACAAAGGCTGTAACGATTCATGTTTGCAAAGCTATGTAATTCCTTCTGCTGCCCAGTTATCAAGCTCACACTCCATGCCAAAACTAGAGACTGCATACCAAAGATGAAGAAACTGCCCATAGAGGGACAATCATAAACTCCATCAATGTAGCAAAGCTACAATCAACCTTGCCACATCTAGGCAAAGAAGTATATTCTGCTCTTGAAGGCTGCCACTGCCTAAAATGTCTACGATCTGATCTGTATGTTCTTCATTCGGTGAAATGACAGCTATCGTAAAATCCCGAACAACCGCTCAGTCCTCACCCATTGGCCATCTCGTCTGTCTGACTAAATATTTGTGGCATCAAACAGCCAAAACGTCCCCGCCCCAAGATATTTCCACAACGTCCGAACAGACTTGCTCCAGTGGTCGCGCTACCAGTAGAAATAGAATCTCCCAGGGTTCTGAACAACTTTAATGAGATAAAAATCCTGGCCATGCCTTCAAGGAGAATAAACATACGCCATATTTTCCCATCCACTGGGTGACCCAAGGAGCAGCCAGGCCCTTTAAATCGACCACAAAATTCGGTTTCTTAACCTATCGCGCTACGACTTTGTGCAGCGTTGCCCACAGATAGTGCATTTTGTTTGTAAAATTTGCAAAGAGCAAACTTACCTGAGGAAAAAGTAAAAAAAAGAAAAAGGCTTAGCTCCTATGTAAACGCAGCGAAGCCACCAGTCTTCAAACAATATGGCACCGCTTCGCACAGGAGACGAGAGGTGGCGCAAGCGGCCGCGATGCCAACTGCCGCCAACGGACGAGCATAAGCGCCGAGAGCCGGCGTCCTTAGCAGACAATATTTTAGATTCAAAAGCGGCGCGAGCTTTTCTGATATCAGTTGCCGATGCATTATTTTATCATCCTTCCTAATAAAGCATACTGAATGAACACATAATCAATTAAAAAGACGGTTTTTTGGGATTTTTTTACTGTTTTTTTTTAAGGTACTGATGTTGTCTGCTTTGCAGTTCCTTGTTGTTACCGCGCCTGTTGTTGTTTCTGCGACTGTCACCGCCTGCGGAACGTGCGCCGCTTTTGAGTCGAAAAGATTGTCTGCAAACGACGCCGGCTCTCGGCGCTGTATGCTTGTTCATTGGCGGCAGTTGGCATCGCGACCGCTTGCGCCATCTCTTGTCTCCCGTGTGAAGCGGTGCCGTATTGTTTGAAGACTGGTGGCTTCACTGCGTTTCCATAGGAGCTAAGCCTTTTTCTTTTTTTACTTTTTGCTCAGGTAAGTTTGCTCTTTGCAAATTTTACAAATGAAATGCACCATCTGTGGGGAAACGCTGTACAAAGTCGCAGCGCGATAAGTTAAGAAACCTAATTTTGTGGTCAATTTAAAGAGCCTGGCCGCTCCTTGGGTCACCCAGTATAAGTTGCACCTTCGTATAAGTTGAACTCCTTCGTACGGTCAGCGTGGAGCGCCGGCCATCGGCGGGTCTACCGTCAAGAAAACTTTGACGACCGAGGCACTCGATCGAGTTGCGCGATCAATCTGAAACCATGCGGCCGGTCACCATGTATTTGAGTTACATCCGTACGTACAAAAGTGTTTACGAAAAAATCTCTCAATACAGACGGGTGATGCACATACAGTATAGACCACTTACAACGTAACCGCTTATAGTGCAGGACCGGGTATAACGCGGTTTTTTTAAACCACCGGTTCGCCTCCCATAGAACTCCATGTAATTACATACCGCTTAAAACGCAGGCGCGCGAAGGGAAATACCGGTTAGAGTGCGGTTTCTGGCACAGCCCGCCGACCGCGCCGACGACCGGAGCAGCGAGCACGCTTCCCTGTGCGACACTAGATAACGGCGCTGACGGCGCGAGCCGCAAGCGTTGCGCAAGCGGCACTCGCGGGGCAAGGAGGTTGCTCGAAGCACTCGTGGCTCGAAGAAGCGGGAGAAGCGAAGAGAGAGGCCTCAGTTGCCCTAGCGACGGAGGGACGCACGCACGTGTCGTTCACGTGCGTGCGTCCCTCCGCTTCCTTGAAAACATCCGAAACAACCGCAACGACAGACCAATCGCAGATCGAGAAGTGTTCGCGCGCGTCGCATGCCGGTCGCGGGCCGGCTGCTTCTCCGCAAACATGGCATTGGTTGTGATCAACGTTGTGATCGTCGTCTTAGACGGCGTTCATCTCATCGTTCCGCGTAAAAGCGCTATCCTTGAATGTGAATTTTCGCTGTGTGTCGCTATGATAACCCAGCACGTACTAGAAGGGAAGGTCCACCTACTCGAGCGGCGATGTCGTGGCGGCGCCCTCAAGACGGCAGAAACGCCCGTGTCGTCGTGTTTACTTCGACTACAGTGGTGATTTCTAAGCCTTTGTGTGCTCGAACATCGCCCGGATTTCTTATTTGGCGCATTTCATGCGTGTGCTCAAGTTGAAGGTATTACTGGCGCGTACCGTGTGAAGCATGCGAATTTTCACGCGTTTTCATCTCCGGAGAAAAGTGATTAGGGTTAGCAATCCTGAACGCTCGCAACGTCCGTCCGCAACCCGCGACGCCGTTAAAAGGCTGCGCCAGGCAAAAGCCGCTAATTTCTTTTACAATGTGTGACACACTTGAGACATAACTGTACTAGTCTATTGAAATAAAGACTTTCCTCAAACTAAGCTTATTTTTTCATCTAAGATAAAATAAATTCTTTTACAAAGGTAAGTTGTCTCATGGCATGTATTTTGGCCTGAAAAATTGATGTTTTGGTTATAACGCGGTACCGCTTATAGTGCGGATTTTCGCGACTCCCGCGACATACGTTATATGCGGTCTACACTGTATAGCTTCTTCTCAAATGATGCGTGATATACTCCAGTAACCACGGTTAGTCTCAACTAGAGCTACTAAATAAGCCACACTCGAGAGTAACTACACTTCAGCCATCTTGGTGCTGACAATCATTGTTGCCAGTTGTCCGAAGCCTTACTCGAACTTGCAGCAAACGGTTTTTCGTCCTTCGAAAATGTTAAGTTAGCGGCAGGGGTTCGGACACTGTATCTGAAGCTCCGTAAGCCACATTTTTTAATTATAATGATCGCCAATCACGCCGCACCAGGCACCAAAAGAACGATGCTCAGAGAGTGCCGACATTGAGTATAGCTTCTTTAGTGGCTCCATGGTCTGTTGCGAGTTAAGAATAGCGGAACAAGCCCCTCCCACAAAGCTCTCAGTACGACTGGTGCTTTCCTCCTGCGTTCACTCCGCTAGAGTGGTAAGAGGACCTCGTGGCCGGAGCTTGTCCCACTGCGCTCAACATGCAACGGACCGCAGTCTCGACGAAATGTGGCCAAGGGCCCCAACCAAAAGAAAACCGGGCAAAAGGGAACAGAGAGAACTCCACGCACGTTTCTTGACCTTGTTCTTCCTCGAGAACTTCATCTCGTTCCGAGCGGACGGCATGTTGTGGAGGTCGTCCAGCACGTCCAGTTCGTACTTCTGTCGCATCTGCAACACGGAGCCACCCACAGACGTTCACTGCCCGCGTTCCCGGGGAGTGCTGGCCGGCACCGCACTTCGACGGGCCGCCGCACGTGCTCATTTCAGCGACTGCGCAAGTCGTCACGCGGGCTCGGATGGACTCTGGAGGCCTCTTCTCGGACAATGACTGAGGTCTGCCAAATGCAAAGGGTGATGACACGGGCTGGAGGGGGCATCTCACTCTCCCAGGAATGTATCTGTCCTAAGCTCAAACTGCAACAAGCCAGAGTATTTCTTGAATCTTAAGAGAATGCTCAGCTCTCCCCCCCTCTCTCTCTCTCTCCCTCCCCCCCTCCACTCTTCCCCCCCATTCCGAAAGAAAAATTTTAACTTTCTGGATAGGACACGTATATATCGCAAATCTAACTTTCCTCTGAATAAAAAAATTTCTAGGACAATATTTACTTCCCAAGACTCATTTCGTCTTAGGAGCAATTCCAACGCTTTTATTTTCTGACAGCAGCACCAAGATTAAACCATGTTTCGAAATAAGACAAAATAGGTCTCGCGGTGTAACTATTGCACTACATTCTTCTTTCTTTCTGGGGAAAGTTTACTGTGTCACATCCAGGTACTCTTATAAAAGAAAGAAAACAGGGGAAGTTCAGTGTTTCTTTTAGGGCACTCTCGACATGGCATGATGCAATCACGTAATAAACTGTACACTGCACCGAGTCGCAGATGTAAGCATATTTGATAAAGAAAAATGCCTACGCAGCAGGAACACACGCAGTGAAAGTTGCAGCAGGACATGTTGCTAGATGCAGTCATTTAATTATTCGTGGCCCCACCCAAGAACATAACACCGTAGCAAAGGTTACCTGTGAGAGCTATCCCCCAACTTCTGATCAGCAACTTTTTATGGACACAAGAAGGGATCTCGACACAATTTGAGGTTGGAAGACCCTACACCACAAATCATAGTATACAACTAATGCTGCTTCTGACCAAACGCTACCTTATAACTCCACAATTAGAGAAAGAAAATCTCATCACAGCTGTCATCTTTGATCACTATTAAAAGCTGAATAAACATTTTCCTCCGATATAGTTCAGAGTCACAATGAAGCCCCAGAGTTCCCAGTAAATCTTGTTGTCATAATTTTTCTTTTTTCATATTTGGGCTATTTTCGTGGTTCTACAGAGAGTAACCAACAATGAGGAACCAGTTCCATTTTCATGAGCTCCAGAAAGGGGTCTTTTGAAATACCACCTTTGGAGTAAAGAAGGAATAAACCGAGAGTGGTAAAAAGTCCTTTTGGCCTTAAATCTTCATCGAGAGCATCTCAAATTTTACCGAGATGTCTTCAAAAAAAATTTCAATGCATGAGTGCTGAAACCGTGTCTATTATTAAATGCTTGGTAAATGCTAAGGGTTTATCCTAAGCATAACCGAGACAAAGTGGTAAATTCCGTTCCCTATCCGTCTAAAGATTGCACGCAATCCATCAGAAGAGTTGCTGAGCACAAGCTGAAGGAGATTCATAATTTCAAAGTTCTGAAATGACACAAATCTGGCCCCTTGTACCTGCAAACTTGCGCGTCACACCGAAGTCAACAATTATCGACAATCAACCACGAGACTCAAACATCACAAGAATGCAAGTGTGTTAATGCTAACATTGTCTACATCAATACAAGTCTACACCCTCATCTGGATAATCCAGCTCCCCTAACAAAACCGCCGAATAAACAGGGACCAAGTAGTAGAAAGAGACGAAGCCCTCCTTACGTCTTGGTCCCTGTTCATTCGGCGCTTTTCTTCCAAGAGAATCACCAACTAGCTCATCTTCCTATCTTAAAGGGCAACTCCAGTCAATATTCTGGAATTTGGGATTACGACTGTTTTCAGCTCAGTCAGAGTCCCTGAATTACAGGGACTCTGACTGTACGGACGCGACGTCACAAGGGTGATACAGTACGAGTCGCCCAGTGTTCCATGACTAAAAGCTAAACCGCTCGCCACTTGCTAAAGAGCAGCTGGTCGCATCTTTAAAATCGGTTCTAGTGAAGTATGCACCTTCACTTTGACGTAGTATTTTGACCGTGATCACATTTCTAGCCACTAAAGCGATACCGGTCATTTAATTTCGTTTTGTTTCCGACGGGTGTTGCCCTTCTATACAGCTTCTCTCGCGTGAATGAAGGCTCAGCTAGGGCACTGAATCGGGATAAAAAAAGGACTTAATCAATGCTGCAAGTTAGCAGAAACTTCAGCAAAGTGTGTACCTTGTTGACACTCCAAGTGAGAATTCTAACAACTGAAAAAGCTCCATCCGAACACTAAAAAGCATAGGACTTTAGTCAACTAGTCCCAGGAGTAAATAATGATACAATCTATTATTCTTAATTTAAATGAAATATGACAGTCATAACACTATTTCTGTGGTCTCAACTTTTAGGAACATTAACATGTTAAGCACACAGACATCAACAAATCACCTACTTTCCACTCGCATAAAAAACAATAATGCCCGTGAATATCGATGTTAGCAGACAGGGGCTTAGAGAAACTAGAGGGTTTACAATATGCGATAGAGTAGACCATTGTTGATACGTTTTTCGGGGGACTGCAATAAAAAAGTAAGATCTGGGAAACGATCAATAACACTCTTCGGGATCTACGGTTGAGACAGGAAGCAGCTATGACACGGCGATTCCTTTCATATGGATTTTCATGGCTGCGGAGGATTACCATACTTACTTAAATACCGGTAAACATTTTTTTTCAGAATTGCAATTTAGATTAAGGGGCAACTCCAACTTTAACCAAAAATTGTCGACTGTATGAAAAATTTCGTAGCCCATTTAAGCTAACCCAATACAACCCCTCGTGAGCTGCTGTGGCTAACACGCCGGTGTAAAGCGGTAAAACACGAGTGCACACCGTGCGCGTGCCATGCGCCGTGCACTATCATGGGCTCCCAACTTCACGCAAACTAGCGAAACAGCTAGTTTCATTTTGTATGGAGTCTTGCCGGGTGTTACGTTCTGCGAAATATGTAACAGTTGGAAAGACAATATGGATGTCCCTGTGGGCACTCAATGAGGCCAGCCTTTGTGAACAGCCAAGAAAATGCATAAACCGAGAACATGTCAACGAGATTCTACAGTATCTGGAGTGTCAACACCCCAAAGTATAGAGAAAAGTTCGGAGGCTCCCACTCCCCATGAGAGTTTTCAAAGTCGCGGCAAAGAAACTGAACCGCTAGGCAGCGCCGTTCACTTTAATACAGTTAAAAACTAGGAGACTCACCACACACTGAGCTACATTGAGCAGTCTGCCATAACAAGCCTGGAAGCGAGAGTGAGTGATTCATCGGACATGAATCACCATCGAACAGGCGCCCTTTCGGAGCGTTACACATTCCAAAGACCCGAAAACTGCGAGTGGCAGAGGCTGGGGCTTGAAATGCCGAGCTCCCGGACAAACAGTCGCGGTCAACCTGCGAGAACTCTCGCAGTGCGCGCTGCAGATTTCCTGGATTAGAGGCAGCAACCGTCCTCCGACAATCCCAAAGTTTCCGTGGCCTTGCAAGGACGACCGCTCGGCAACTGGCGATTCTCCGGCTCGCAAGAGCGACGGATGTGCCTCCCTTCGGCGCAACATCTCATTCGGCAGCTTTTGCTCGGAGGTGCGGGCACGCCGAAAAAATTCGGGATCCGGGGGCGACCGCCGCATCCTGCAAGCAGGTCGATCGTCAATACTGCTTCATTGCCGAGGGATACGTAGGCAACATCAATTGCGGCCTATTGTTCTCGCTCACGCTGAACAGCTTCTGAAATCAATGAATCAATTTTCGCCGCACTCCGTTTCACTTTACGACGCCCCGCAACGGACGGCACGGGCCAAAGGAGCCGAGTCAAAGGTGGGAACGTGTCACGAGACCTTCTGGTCGGACGGAGCAATGCGACACTCCACGCACGCTACTAAGGCTGGGAGCCTTAGTAGCGTGCGTGGAGTGCCAAATTGGCCGACACGGCTCGTGGCCACGATGTAACGTATTTGCACCAATATAATGCAAGTATTTTTTCACAATTACGTGCTCCAAAACACACCTTGCGTTATATTCGGAATCGAGTTCAGCCACGAGGCGCCCGAGTCTGGAGAAAGCCAGAGGACAAAGCCATCCCTTCAGCTCAATGCAGGAGGTCGGGTGGGAAAAGAAGTGGGGGAGGTGGGGAGGGAATTTATTAGCTACTGGGCCACGTGAAGCGGCACGTGAAGCGGCGAATAGAAAACATAAAAAGCATTTTTATTGCTTTTGTCTTTGTACAAAGCGTGCCACAGAAACGCAACACGCATGCCAGTGCCATGCGGGAATGCGGGCACTGGCCAATTCAAGCCAAGCCAGGCCAAGTCAAGTCGACAAAAGCCAAGACCACCAACCGCGTTTACACAATCGTGCTTCAAATGTGCAACGCGAGGTGTTTGTTTATGCGGAAGCACCAGAACAAGAAGTGTGATTGTGTATTGGGTTCAGCAGTTTTTATTCTGCCTGCGCATCTTTTCCGTTTCTGCTCTAGGGTGGTCTGGTGTTTGTGCATTGGTGCTTCTGCTTCGTGCCTTGCTTTGCTTGCGGGCTGCCGAGGAGCTCATGCCGAAGAAAAAGGAACTACCGGACAAAAGGAGCCGTGCTAATGCTTATCTGAACAGTGGCCAAGTGGACTGTAAACGGAAGGACCTGAGCAGTGAGGATGAGTGCAGTCAAAACATAAACTGACATTTCTTCTATTTCCCTTGCCTTTTCACTTTTGCTGTGCCCCTGATTGCGGGAAATCGACACGACCTCGGCTCGCGTTATAACTGTATAGTAACATTTTTTATTCTTTTTGAGGGCATCAAAATTCTCTCGCATTATATTCGTGGTCGCGTTATATTCGTGCAAATACAACAATATGCTCTTTTGGGCGAGGACACATGTCGAGGCAAACGCCGCGACACGATGGAGCAGATAAAGTTTTATCGGCGCTCACCCGGGTAGCCCGTGCCAACAGCATCTCTACCGACCGTGTGGGGAAACTAAAGAAAAAAAATTGACCGCATCTCCACGTGGTGATTGATGTTGATTGGGGGGTTGGGGCAAAGCTCTGGTGGTGCTTGTCTGCGTAGACGCTGAGCCACAGCATGCCGAGCCTTTCGTTCGTTTTCATCCATTTCAGAAAGAGAATGGGTGGTATGGAACGTGGTTATATACGCATTTGAGCATTTGACTCCAGCGCCCTCTCGTCTATAAACGTTGAGCCAATGCATGCAAAGTTTAACGCGATTATATACGCATTTGACCACAGCGCCCTCTCCTGTATAGACGTTGAGCGGCTACATGCAATGTTTCATCCACGACATCCCCAGCTCTTGAGTTACTACCACATCTCGGAGCCCCCTATTCGTCCCGCAGTCGTGGCTGAGTGGCTAAGGAGATGGACCAGAAATCCATTGGGGTCTCCCCGCGCAGGTTCGAATCCTGTTGACTTTGTTTTTTTTCCCTACAGGAGCATGTGAGCACGGACGCCGGACGGACAAAACTAGACCCTAAGGAGCTTTGCCCCTAAAAAAGAAGTTTGTCGTTAAAACATCCTGACGCATGTGCTTTCTGCTCGGTGCGTCTGATCCGACCTCGATGGACGCTGGCTCGAACACGACGCCCGGGATCTTCCCGCTTCCATGCGTTTGTAAAATTGTTCCTGCCACAGTCGAGGCACACAACTAGGGTTGACGATGAAGTTGCGTCTAAGAAAAACATCCAGAAAAGGACTTTAAAAAGAAGCGCGCCTCCCAAAGAGATGACACCGGTCCCATGACAGGCTGCCACCAGCTGCTTATCAAAGAATCACCCGGTGACGCTGCTGGCAACCGAGGCAAGGAGAAGGCTTTATCTAGCAGCTGCGACACACGCGATGTCCACACCTTAGAAAGTGCACGTGGCGTCCGTTGCGGTACGTGGTAACATGAAACGGAGCAGGGTCCATTGCAGAGAACCGCAGCTTCCCAAGCTACCAGAGCCCCTTCAGACAATGGTGCAATGCCCGCAGAATGGACGAGAAACTGACCTCTAGTCTTCTTTGGGCGTCTTCCGGCAACAAGACGTCGCAGCAGCTCGTAGGATGCTCCAGTGCGACATCCAACTGCATCTCGGCAGCACCTCCCAACTTACCTCCGCACTCTGCGTCATCTCACGGGCTTTTCATTTTGCACCTCAGAGAAAACCTCCGGACAAGGCATGGGGGGTTCGAACCTCCGGTGCGAGAATCGCACCGCCGTCGAGGCAAGGAGCGGCTCTGCTTTGGGGACCGAGCGTCCCCAAAGCCCCCTCGGCAGTGGCGTGGACTCAATCCCAATACCTTGGCCTTCTTGGGATCCACTTCCTCTGCCTTGTCTGCTTCTGCATCCGCCTTGTCCGACGAAGGTTTCTCCTTCTCAGCATCTGAGGGCCACCGGCCGGGAAAAAAAAACAACAAGGCCAACGAAATGAGGCCCCGCTTCAAGAGCCATAAGGACACCTAGACCTTCGGAAGCACCTGCCTATTTCTGTTCCGCCAAAAGAACTAGCTTCCAAACAGGCAAACAGCTACCATTCGTATGAAGGGTTTCCCAAGTAGAGCGGAACGTGGAACTAATTAGGCGCATTGTGCCGCTCAAGCTGCCATCGGCTACATGCTGGGCAAGTACCACATTTGTGCGGAACAGGCCCACTCGCTTACGATGAAGGCTTACGGCTTGACATTGTTCCAAAGAATAAGAGGAGCCAGAATTGCAGAAACCCAGTGCAAGTTGATTTTAAAGGGGCACTGACAGGTCATAATAATTTTTTTTTCTTTATTATCCGAAACGATTGAAAACGATGCATGGACATTACCCTCAAAATTCGAAACTTGGGAACTTTGTGAAGTAAAAAAACAATTCCCAAAAAGCCAAATTTAAAATTCCCGCGCGTTTCACACCAGGGCAGTTACATCAAAGATTGAGTTGTTGTGCAACTCGAGTTTCTTTCAAGCCTCCGAACCGCCACGACCCAAACTGTCGTGTGCGTGCTATCGCTCCGTGTGTGCTACCTATCGCTGTGAGCAGGCGACGCTTCACTCTCGAGTTTGAAGTTCTTCTAGGGCCCTTTCGGCCATCTCAACTTCTTTGAAATGGCGCGAGGTTGAAGAGAACGCACGGTGGATTTTTGTGAGCAACGTGAGGGGCCACATCACGCCGGTTCTGCGTGAAAAACTGCCCCGGCAGAGTCACAAATTAAAACTTTAATACACAGACACCAAACCCAGTTGTTTTGACTGTTTGACAATTTCCTTTTCAAACTAGAGGACTCAAAAAAGTGCAAAAAGAAAACACGGACGAAGAAGAGATATATATAACACGGAAGGGTGCTAACTTTTGACTGATTTAATCCAGGCAAACCACCCAGCACACATGCGTAAACACTCTTTCCCATCTTGCCAACCCCATGTGATAAAAGCAACCCATAAACACAAACAACAGATGACAATGACTTCAAACATTCATATCATTTCAACGTGACTACACAAAACCATCTAGAAAAGAAACTTCCTCGTCATTTAGTAAAATCGAAAATGTGCTGGCAAAGTTGTCATCTGAGGCAAAGTTGTCACCTGTCACCTCTCAGTCTTCTTAGTTGCTCTTTTAATTAAATCTGTTAATTCTAACAGGGGATCACACCCGCACTGCACGCAGTGTACTGCAAGGTGTCCCCCCGCTTTCTTACAAAGTCCTCCCGCTTTGTTATGAAGTCCTAATGTGAGATCTGCACGAACACGCCTTCGATTTTACTAAATGAAGAGGAAGTTTCTTTTCTACATGGCTTTGTGTAGACACGCTGAATTGATTTACAAATGTAAATTGAATTTGAACCCTCACTTTATAATAAGAACTTTGTTTTTGTCCGTAGACAATTCTGTTCCTTTCATAATCACCATTTTTAGTGTTTGCACGGAGCGAATTGCCAAAATACCCTAATTTCTTAAAACTAAATTTTAAAAAACATCCAAATTTCTTTTATAATTCAACACCGGAAATTATGCAATGTACACATATGCAGGTTTGCCTGTACTTAGTTTATGCCGTACATATAGAAGACTTGTATCCGAAACAAATAAACTTAGATGAGAATGCAACTTCGTCTAAAAGCGAACAACAATCCTTACGACAAAGTGTAAGTTTGCGGCATTCTGAAATGAAAACTTGTAGTTACCCTCATTGTCGTCTTTCTTCTCATCCTTAGACCACTTCTTGTAAAATTTCTGTGCAAGAAAAGGGAAAAAGAATGCTCATAAATGACCAGTGTTGCGCAAAAAGTTTGGCTTGTGGTTTCCACAATGTGTAAGTGCAAGGCAGAAAGCCACAAAACACCATGCACCCCAGTAGCCAGTACACAGCAGGTGTCGAGCTGAATGTGCCCAGACAAGCCCCGTTTCCGAAGGCACAATGTTGATTCAATCGAAGAGCACCCACTAGTGGGCCACCCATGCAGCAGCCCTCGTTCCCACAGCACTCAAACTGACGCTCTGAAGAGCAATTTCAGAAAATAATTCTTTGCCAGAGCCAGCGATGACTGCATAGTGGAGCAGGTGAACTATTTGAGAGCTTGACGTTCGTTGCATCTGCTTGTACGAAGCCTCGATCCATATGTGTCGTGACAGAGGGGTGGGTCACCCGTCATTTCCCTCGAGTGCACCGTGACACCCCGACGAGTCACCCGCCAGAACTGGACTTGCTCACCATCGAGAGATGGCACAAGCGGCATTGCAGTTGGTGCTGTGCCAAGCACTTTCAGACGTGCCGAGCGCAGCACTCGCTCGTGGCATGTTTGCGCAACAATCGTCGTCAATACTCGAAAGCGGCGTAAACTGCAAATTTTTTCGAGGGATTTTGGGCCTACCTTGCTTGCCTTCTTCATCTTCTTCTCCGGGTTCAAGACCTTGCCCTCCATGCGAAGCTTGTGGTTCTTGCTCTTCATGTGCTGCCACAGAAAAGAGGGTATGCGACAATGCAACAGACTGCGGCAGAAAGCTACCAGCTCCATCACATTCTACTTTAACTGGTAGCATGGCAACTGGAAAGAATCACACTAAAAAAGTTAAGATCCGTAAAAAAAAGGGGTCGAAATTGCCGCCACTGTTACGCCTTTCTCGAAGAAATGCGCGAGCATTCCACGCAACAGTTACATATAAGGAAGCACGGCTAATGTTGCCTCTCAGCACTTTTCTGCGGGGTGAACATCTCCGAAGCAACTCTTCTCCCCGGTGCAGGCAGATTGGGTCACTTAGTGCGAGCACAAAGGACGTGCGTGCAATGCGCTGAAAATGAGAGCCATTTCATCGTTGCACGTACAGGGAAGACGACACGTTGCGCTTGTGGCCCGGTGACACAATAAGACGACTGCGCGTCAAGAATGGCGTGGCAGGTCAAAGAACGGAACCGCAGCCCGCGCGTCCATGGGTCTCCAAAGCCAACGGCGGAAACTTTTAAAGCTTCTAAAGTGTGCACCCTCGCACCGGCTGCGCCGGCCGCAAGACGCAATCGGCGGAGGGGGGTTGACACGCGCCCTGGCGACACGCCCGATGTCCCCCATCCAACGACGATCTGCAGCCGCTAGGGTCGCGACGCTGTCCCGTAGCCACGTCGCAAGCTCTAAAACGTGCCCTCCGACGACGTCCGAGGTCGGTGCACATATAAGGGCGCAACCGCTAACGTATTAATAAAGTATTAAGGGGGCACACCACCTTGAAAATTCAGATTTTTAACCAGTCACTTGATTTTTATGAAATTTGGTGGATGTCTTCACTTCTATGCCTTGTTGCATTGTACCAAATTCGACCTCCATGGGACAATTCTTTGAGGAGCTAGACGAAAAAATGTCTGCTCCTGGTTGACAGTCACCACCGTCTTTTAGGAAATCTATCATGCCAGATTGGTGCACCATATTTAGCATATCTAAGCTTGAGCCTCAATTGGAACATATGGAGCAGGGGGCTATCTATTTTTAATATTGAATACTTGACTTTTTGATAAAAAAATCTCAATTTTAAAACTATTTTGCATTTAGTTGAACTTCCGGCTTGCCAAAAACTTGTTTTATTGCCAGAAAGACTTGAACTAAACAAAAAAATAAGTAGATAGCCCCATTCCTCATTAAATTTGAGTTCAGAAACATCCTCAATGATGCACAAATCTGGTAGTGCATTAAAATGATAGATTTCCTAAAATGAAGTTTGTGTTAAAAAAGTGAAAATGAGAAAAAGCAATTTCAAGTTTCCACACCCCTGCACTTTATTGTGCTGGAGAAGGTGGCAACTAGAAGGCGCCAGGAGCGTAGGTGGTGCCTTCCACTACCAGATCCTGCTGTGCCTTGGTGATGGCCTCCATCTTCCTGCGCTTCTGGGCCTGTTTGGAGGACTGCTGTGCATTCAGTTGTGCCTTGCTGATCTTGGCGCGAGCGGCCTCGGAGGAGTGCTGCTCTTGGTGGCTCCCGGGCTTGATGTTCAGCTCTGCGAGAACCTTCTCGAAGCCCTTGGGCCCCAGGTTAAATTCCAGCACCGCCAATGCAACTGAAGTCTCCACTGTCCTTTGAGACGCAAACTCAGTTTTCGGACAGCGCTTCCAAATCAATCCATTGAAGGATTCATTTGCATTTTGCGTTTTCATTCTAGAACACCTTAGCAGCAGGTCCTTGTGTGCAAGCCGGTTGTAGACAGGCACAAGTTGCTTGGCCACCTCTCTTGAGAAGGCTGGACGGTGAGGCTTTGGCTGAGATGGCTTCCCCGCCGCCGTCAGAGCCAGGTGGCGGTTGAAGTGGCACCACGACTGCTGCCCCTTTGGGCATGCTAGATGCCTTGGTTCTTCGTCGGTCGAGTATGAGTGCATGAGGGTTGCCATCACTCCTCGTTGCATACACCGGACGTCTGGAGCATTGTCCTTGAGTGCACATGCATAGTAGTTCGTAAGTCTTTTCATAACGACGTTGGTGAGTTTGCCCCTGCCTCCCAGCCCTTTTGTTGACTTCTTTAGGGTATCCAGGGCAGAGTACATACGTTTGGCCACGTGATTCACACAATCTTCCTTCTCGATCTGTCTGTCATAAAGGTTCAGGGCAGCAACACTGGCATATGACTTGCTGTCACCGTCGCAGAGCATTTGTGTGTACTGCAGGCTGTGATGAGCGATGGAGCGACTGAAGATTTTGATTGCAGCTTGGACCTCCATGGCGTTCGCTGAGCCCCCAAAGTTTTTCTGGCATGTCAGCTGATGTTTTTCATGCCACGCCTCGTACTCGTCAGAGTCCTCTTTTGGGCCGAGGGAACAACCGTGGCAGTAATTGCTGATTACAGCGAAGTCCAGCACAAGGCCTGTCTCAAGGTCGATCACCACGCCGACACCGAAATGCGACGTATGCCCGCGCTTGTGCCATGTTCCGTCAAAGGTGACGCAAACATCTAGCAAATCTTCACTATACGCCTCGCAAGTGGGCTCATTTTCGTCTTCTGCGCATGAGAAAGGAAGTAGCGGTGACGTCAGAACGCCGAGCCCTGATTGGCTGATCGTGACCCCCTATCTCAGCGTCGTCTGCTCCTTTGCAACGTCGTCTGCTCGCAACATCGTCTGCGTTTGTCTCACCTTTCCTGCGACTTTCAGAAGTGCAGGTCTTTACATGCGAGCTCGACTTCGCCTTTCACAGAGGGCAGACGAAATAACTCGAGCGGTACGTTGTTTTTGTCTAACAACTAGCAGACGCACATCAAGGAGGGAATTCAGAGGACTCACTGGCGAGGTGTCCCGAGGCGCCGAGGTTTGTTTACTAAGAACCGGGAGGTGAGCGTGCAAGTTCCCTCCCAAATACTTTGTCCCTCCTTTCGTGTGCGGCGATACCCCCCATTCTTTAGCAGCTTCGGCGGGTTGGCGCAGTTGACGTCGTCTGCTCTACGTCTGCTAGTCAAAGCGATGGCTGCTTTACCTTTCCTGCGTCTGTCGGAGATTCACCGCTTTTTCACCGGCGAGAGTCGCCGTTGCCTCGGGAAACAAGGAGATAACAAGAGGAAGAAATTGACCTCTTAATCCAAAAGTGAGGTCAGCGATCAAAGTATAATACGGGAAGGGTTCACAAGGGTCGCGCGGGCATATTCCATTCAGCACGCCAGCCGGTCGTGGGCAGACGGTCGCCGAGTCCGGGAGTGCCTGCTAGGCCTAACTGCCGTGCTCGCTTGGTCGCGTTCGGTGGAATCATGGCCATTGGAGCTTTTCTCGGGTGTTTGTGGATCCAGCGTTCTTGTTCGTTGTGGTCTGTTTCAAGTACTTTTTACTTTTTTCTTGCTGCTTGAAGTCGGGACGCGTGAGAAGCGCACATAGAAAAATAAACGTCCGTGGGTCGTCGCGACCGCGACGCTGTCGGCCATGCTGATTGTAAGAAGTGCGTACGACAGCTTCAAAGCTGTCCTAGAATTTCGTCGTAACCTGCGCAAAACTTGCGAAAATTTCGTTTCGTGAATACAAATTTGTTCTTAAGTTATGGCTTACGCATATTTTTGGCGTAAGATTGTTTCCTGCGACTTACGAAAGTCGCAGGAAAGGTAAGACAGACGCAGACGACGTTGCGAGCCGACGACGTTGCAAAGGAGCAGACGACGCTCGGATAGGGGGGCGCGATCAGCCAATCAGGGCTCGGCGTTCTGACGTCACCGCTACCCCCTGCGCAAGAAGCAGACGAACTTGCCCTCCGCATTGGCTGCGCCGGAAGTGGTCCGCACCACTTGAGCTGCTTGCTTCATACAGGCCGTCGCCGCCAACATCGACGCGTCATGAACTTTGACGGCAAGCTCTTGATATGACTTGAGGTGCATCGGTCGCGGGATATTCATCTGCGCGAAAAAGTTAGTCAGTTTTGTGTGGCCGATACCACAATCCCGGGAACTCAGGACGATGCGTGCAGCAAGCTCGTTTTGTTTGGAGTCCTCGATCGTTGACGAGTGTGGCGAGTCCGCGATGTCCCCGCAACGCGGGCAGACCACAACGAACCGGAGGCGCACTCCCTTGTTTCGCTCCACAAGCTTGAGGTCTGCTTTGAAGCATGTTGGGCACAGAAGACTGCATATCAAGTTTTTGATCGCACACACATCGACCAAGCGATACCCATCTAGAGGATCCACAGTGACGGCAGCGTCTGCCTCCTCTCTTGCGACATCGTCGGGGTTCGTTTCCGTGAGCAGCGCGATCTTTCGCTCGATCGCCGTGAGCTCGTTTGCTTCTTCCCGAAGTTCTTCTTTCGAGGCCAAAGGTCTAGGCTCCGTCAGTGAAGATGACCGATCGGAAAGCGACGAGCCAAGTGACGGCGGCGGCGATCCACTTTGCACTGAAGAGGCCTCAGACGACGGCGCGGCTTGGGTAGCTTCGCGCGAGCGGCGTCCACCCGATCTGCCTCGCGGCTTTGCAGAGCGAGAGCGGGCTCCAAATGCCTCCGTCGATTTCCGTTTCGTTGTCGGCATGTTGACATCGGTCGCAAAACAAGCGAGAAATATGGCGCACTTTCGCTACTGGAGCAAGCATCGGGCAGTGGCGAGCGCAGCGATAAACAAGGCAAACGAACCCACGTGACTCGCCGTACGCCAATCCCCTTGCGAGTTTCGGTTTTCTGCCCAATCAGCGCGGCTAATGAGATTTCTGTGCACGTGAAAAGCTGGATTTCTACGGGGTTATTGCCCGTGTAGCGTTTCATCCCGAACGGAGGTACTTGCCGTTTCGGAACCGCGAAGAAATGCCCTTTACAGCGACGGTATGTCGATCGTTCTAGGCCTAACTGGCGCGGAACTCTGGCGATTTGAAAATGATGAACATCGGGTTCTCACGTTCGCGAAACGTCCGATTTGGCACCGTCGCCTGGTCGAAAATGTTTTATTTCTCCGTAAATATTGCAGATATAGCTATAAAACTCTAGGAGATGGCGCATTATTACTTGCTCAACCGAAATAT